ACGTGGTAGGCTAAGCGGGCATGTGCACGCAACGTTTAAGGCTTTCTTCCTTCGTATTTCTTTCCCCCGAGAAAACTCCCTGACGCCCTGGCCGATGAGCGAATGGGTAGGTTCAATGGCTGTCAATGTATATGCATTTGTGTATTTAATTACACGCCTTCGGTAGAAGGAGGGACGGCACGTTGCGCTCCCAGGAGACCGACACCCAAAACATCGCCACCGTCAGATCGGGGCCAAACTCGTCAAAATTGTGCGGGCAACGCATAGCCGTACAATAATTAAGCTCTTTTACAAGTCATGCTTGAAACGACCTGGACGATAAGGCCCTCTTCAAAAGTCAATTTACAGACGGAAGGTCGCTTCTAAGCGGAACAAGTGCTTGCTTTGCCATTCAGGGGACAAAAGTACTTTATTCGCACTCTGCACACAGCAAAAGCCTGGCATGCAATGCACATGTGCTGCCTGACGACATTGCATGTGCGTTGCGGCAGGATTGCCTGAGATAACATTTGCCTTGTCGAACCCATCGGTCTTTCTCAAGGGCGGTCCCGCGATGCGAGCGGCTAAGAGGGGCGTGACGTAAAAATTTGGGCGGTCGTGCTTTACCTGCCGCCGATATTTTCACAAAAATGAATTGCGCGCCCCCCCCCCCACGGGTCGGAAAGGACTGGGGGACTATCATGCATGCGATTGAGAAGCAGTATTTATTCCTGCAACATTTCGAGAGATCCGTAACATATGAGGTAATGTGATCGAGGGAAAAGGTGGAGATTGCCTGTTGTTTCCCGAGACGCGTCCTGACCACCTTGGCCAACCTCTCATACATCGTGCAGCTTGAGGAATACCGGGCACTACACATGAAATTAGAGGATCGGCAATATTTTTAGAAAGTTGATCGATGTTGTTGTTCATGTAGTAACGTTTAAGGGCGTCCTACCACTCTCCCAACTTGCCGTCGGGTTTAGACCGCGACCCTCGGAGGCACAATGTGCACCATTTGAGGGCTAAAACCGTCAAAGTTTGTTTCAGGCGTCTATAAAGTATTTAAATGAATTCGATTTCAAGTAGATAGTACTGAAGACAGCTTGCTCGAAGAACAATTAGTGAATAGCACTGCCTTTTTATTGCAAATGTTTGCAGATATTATCCCGTTTCCGAAAATTATGAATTACCATAGTGGATCTAGTCACGGAAGAAAGAAGCATGACTAGACTCCACAAAAAATGGATGATCAGGCACAATCCATCATGACCCTTTTTAAAAAATGCCGAAAGTGAGACTGCAGCCTGCGGCAACCGCCATCAGGAATTAGACCACCGGGGACATGTAATCAAGTAGTCAGCAACATGCCTGGCGATGGCCCGTGAACGTCCATGGGACAATTGTCTGTGTTACATTTCTCAGGTACCAGCTTCGATTTCATACGAAGGGAGGATTCTGCTCAACCCTGATATGCGCACATCAGGAACAACAGGTTGCTCATGTACTTCATTTCATGACTTTTCAACTGGAAACTTATGCTTGTCGTTATCAGGGCATTATCCATACGCTTATAGAAGACGAAATGGTATGGTAAAAGACCCAAAAAATGTTTATGACGAGGTTTTACGCAATTCTTCCGTATGTAGAGAATCATTGACCTAGAATGGGGAGATTCTGCCTACTCCGCTCCAAGAAAATGCCTCTCACGCATGTCACCGTTCCCACGACAAGGATTGACAATCCATGGTATCCCTGCGTTCAACTGGATGTGCAGACGCTCGGAGGTCCATGTTCGGCACGGATGTGAAAACTGTGGGGTCAAAGGTCGCGTGTAACGGACTTTTGAAAGTTTGAACTGAGGCCGGCGTCAGTTCTCGTCTGTGATGGCCTTTGCTCAGGGCAACCTCTTGTCCCAATGTAGCACCAGCTTTCTCCAGCACATAGGCTTCGCTTGCGAGTATAGACCCTTTTATTATTCTATGTAGCTTGACAACGCTGTGGAGCACAGAGGCGCACGTACTGATGTGAGTTTTACGGCACTATCTTGACAATCTTTCCATCGTGCCTACCTCTTCTCTCCTCCTGCTACGGGCAGAATGCTTACTTAAAGAGGAAACTTCCCGCTCATCCAAACGTAATTCTCTAGACATATTGATTGTCTGATAAAACACACAAATAGGGCTCTGGAAGACATGGAGAGCCACGAAGCTACGAGTTTGAGCACAACTTCCTCGACGTCGCTCTGTACCCTTTGCGACCGCCCCGTCTGGCGTCTCCCAACTTCTACCGCACAAACCCAAACAACTGCTTCATCACATTCAGGTGCTTGCCAGACGTCTATACCTCGACCCTCTTCACCACCTGCTTCCTCTCTTCCCTCTCCACCTCCATGTTCTTCCCATCCTCCTCCTCCTTTCCAGCGGCCACCTTCCTCCTCCAGTCGCGCCTCCCTTTGGACGCCGAGCGCCGCTTCTTCGATGCCTTTATCCTCCCTTCATTCTTCCCCCCCACCTTCCGGTCCCCCCTCTTCCCCTGCTTCTTTCGTCATGGTGGCCCGCATGGCGGACATGAACATGTCTTACATCCACGTTCAAGAAGCGGCCGCCGCCGCCATCTCCCCCTCTTCAGTCACCGCCACCAGCAACTCTTCACCGCGTCCTACTTCCTATACTGGTCTTTTTGAGACCTCGCGACGGGCGGAGATGGTGCTCGAGTATGGGGCAGGAAAAATTGACTCGGACGCGCCCGCCTGCTCCCACTGCCTGAATGTGATGCTGCAGGGCCTCGACAAGGTAGGAGTGGGGGGAGGGGGGGGGGACAGGGTGGGAAGAATGAGTTCTTTCTTGGGATTCCTAGGGCCCATAAAATTTTTGCGGGATCCTTCTTCCCCTCTTCCCTCCTTTTCGCGCCTCCCTTCCCCTCCCTCTCTAGGAACTCGCTTACCTGACAGAGGAGGAGGGCCGTTACAACGCCGTCATCACCCAGAAGGGCGCCCCCCTCCTTCCCTCCCTCCCTTCCTCCCTCCCTTACGTTCGCTCGAAGCGCGGCCGAGGATGCGGTGAAGGCTTTGCAGGAGGAGGAGGAGGTGAGCCGGGGCGAGGAGGAGAGCTTGAGGGAAAAGTTAAGGTTCCTCTCGATGCGAGAGCGGGAAGTGAGGGCTCGGGAGGAAGAATTTTGGGACGCGCTGTGTCGGTGCGAAGAGGATAAATGGGAGGATGAGGAAGGGGTGGAGGAAATGCTTCGGGAGGTGGAGAGGCTGCATGCTCGGGCGGAAGCACTTCAACGCCCGGGCCACGCGGTGTTGAAGATGTTACTCTTTGGGAGGAAGGGAGGGAGGGAGGGCGGGAGGGAGGGGGGGAAAGGTCGGGAGGAGGAGGCTTTGGTGGCGTTGGAGCCGGGGGGAAGCAGTGGGGGAGGGGAGACCGTCTTCAGGGTCCACGGGCTTCGGGTGGCGAGGCGGGAAGACCCTCGACGGGACCTGTGGTGGGCGGAGATCAATGCTGCATGGGGTCGGGTCGTGTTGTTGGTGATTGCCCTCGTGCACGCGGTTGGGTTTGAGGGCGGGGGGGAGGAAAGGGGAGAGGAGCCGGGCGGGGGGAGGAAGGGGGGGAGGGGCCGATACAGGGCGGTGTACATGGGGGGGGCGTCCCGCATCGTCCAAGACCCGGGTAAGAAATCTCAGCTCACGTTTCCCCTCTTTGTGGTGGAAGGGGGGAGATTGGGTGGGAAGGGAGGGGGCGGCCGGGCGGGCGGGGCCTCGGCAAGTGCATTAAGGCAGCAGCAGGCGACGCGGATGGACGAAGGGGTCCGACGGTTGTGCCTGTTGGTAACGGAAATTCAAAAACACGTGCTCACGGTCGACGAAGGGGAGCGGGCGCTGGCGTTGGAGCAGGAAGAGCGTCTGTTTGAGCTGGACGTGGCGAGTTTGGGGCTGGGCGAGGAGCGAGGGTGGAACGTGGTGCTGCGCAGGCTGGCGGGGGCGTTGAACTGGCTGGTCTGGGTCGTGTGTGAGGGGGTGGGAGGGGCCCGGGGGGGGGAGGCGTGAGGAAAATAAAGGGAGGGGTGGTCGGCGAAGCTGGGAGGGAAGGAGGGAGAAGGAGAGTAGGGTAACGACGGGGGGAAGGGGCGGGGCCCATGCCACGGGACGGAGGAGGGGGAATGATGGGGCACTCCCACAAAGTCGTGGAAGGCGGGTGGGAAGGAGGGAGGGAAAGGGGGCCGGCCGACTGTCTGGGTGGCGGGTGCCAGGTAGGATGTACATACAAAGAAAGCAAGCACTGTACATTGATCATCGTCCCGTACGTTTGAGGACTCGGCAACGCATGGGCCCTTTCCTGCCTCTACCTTAGGGAAGAAAATACCTCTTTTCAGGAACGCTTGGCTTTTTGTCCGTCCATCACAAATCATGCCTCCCACATACCCCATGAGAAAGGTGCTGTGTTGCCACTACGCCGCTGGGGGCAGGAATGTGATGAAACGAGGGGTACCGGACGTCTTCACATCTGCGTGGTCATTTTCCGTCTGTCGCGTTGGTAGCCTGGCAATCATCTGCATCCGTCCTCCCATCGAATAATTATCCAGACTAGACTCTCCACCGCTCATCAGTCGTGTATCCTGCGTCTGCTTTCATGCTCGCGTCCTCTGAACGCTATCAGTCTCAGTTGTTTCATTACGGTGCGTCTTCCCTCTCTGGCCACACAACCCCACCGCAGCCTACTCTCCCCTTGCATTCGCATGCCTCCTTGCTATCAATGCAAAATCCCGGGTTCTGCTATGATCTTAACTCGTCCTGTCCGCGTCGTCTTTGTCCTTTGCACACTGCATCCGTCCCATCCTTCTCAAGGATGACGAGATTTCATCCATTTTGTTCGCCGATCCCACCGCTTGTTCCCCTTCATGCCAGTCACAGCCTTCGTCCTCCTCGCATTCTATTGTCAAAAACAAGGCCCTCCAGTCTTCGGTCTTCTATCAACTCATGCTCTCCTCTGCCACATCCCTCTCCTGGTCCTCTCGCCCGCCCTCCCCCTCGCCCTGCCCCCCGCCCTCCTTTCCTTCCAACCAAGCTAACAGGCTTTCCCGCCCGACCACCACCCTTCCCGCGTTCCCCGGCTGCGTTGTGCTGTCAATCGGTGGGTAATATTGCTCCACCAACATATCCTGAACAGCCGGGCGCAAGGTCGGTCGAAATGGAACGAGGCTGCCCTTTCCCACGCCACTGATCAACACCAAATCTTTAACGGCCGCCGGTCCACACCGCCACCACTCTTCCCTTATCCGTTTCAACGCGTACCGCACCGCGGCCGCAGCCACGGGGGCAGACATGCCATGCAAATCCAGGGCATGGTCCGCGGGAGTTAAGGTAACGTCAACCGGGACCTTCCCATGCAGCACGGCTTGTTGGTACAAAGCGTCCGCTTCCGCAAAACAACCCGACTGATGATAAATGGTGATGGCCGCCGAGTAGAAGTCCCAGGAAAAAGCAGGATCCACCACCGACAGCGCTTTCTCCGGACACCCCGCCAACGTGCACGCCCGGACCAGATTGATGAAGGTGAACACGTTCGGTTCCACCCCTTTGCGATGCATTTCCCGCACCAGGGCATTGGTGGCCGCCGCGTTTCCCCGCGCCGCGTACCCTAGGACCAAGTAGTTGTAGGCCGTCACATCGGGAGGCAAGTGGACCCGGACCATGTGTTGGAGAATTTCATGGGCGAACGCCAAATGTCCTTTCCGACAAATTGCGCGAAGCAAGACGTGGTACTCCCGCCGGTCCAAACACACCCCCTGCCCCGACCCTGGAACGACTCTTTCCCCGCTCCTGGGGTCCTCCGTCTCTCCGGACCGCTTTTCCGCCCCGGCCACTACCTGTGCCCGCCGAACTTCCCGCTCCATGCGCGTCAAAATTGTCTTGGCTCGTGTGCGGCCCGTGGACAGGGGGGGGGGGGGGCGCTTGCGTTTTGGTTCTCCTGGGCTTCCGGCCCTCGTCGACCGGCCCGACTCCACCCACCGCTCCGATCGGATCAATGCTTGTCCGTCCCTCCCTTGGCGCCCATGCTCTTCCCTATTACCGCCTTGCACGCCCTCCCCCTCCTTCCCTTCCTCCTCCAACTTCCCCCCCACCACCTGACTTCCCCCCCCTTCCAACAGCGCGTGGATCACCGCGGAGACAAAGACCCCATTGGGATGTACCCTCCTCGCCAACATATCGTGGTACAACCCCACCGCCGTCCGCGCCTTGCCCTTCATAAGCGCGGCTCCGACCAAGATAGTATAGATATGGATAGTAGGCACCACCCCATCATTCTGCATCCGTTCCAAGAGCGCCAAGCAATGTCCTAGCTTCTGGGCCGACGCACACGCTTTGACGACCACTGTGTAGCAGGTCGAGTCCGGGGTCAGGCCGCGCCGGCGCATGCTGTGGAGCAAGTGCAAGGCCTGGGGCCAGCGGCCCGTTTTCTCACAGAGGGCCATGACCACAGCGTAGGTATATTGGTTCCAACGGATACCCGCCACTTTCATGGCCGCCAACAGCCGGTCCGCGGCTTCGTAGTCCCCAACCTTCTCGGCAGCGCTCAAGGCCTGGGTGTAACTGATCACATCCGGCCGCGCTCGACCCCCTTCTTTCCCCATCTGATCCAAGACGTGCAAGACGTCGGGGAAAGACCCCGCGCGCGTGTACCCGTCCATCAAGGTGTTGTAGGTACAGGTGTCCCGGTCCACATCCTGGGCTTTCATTCGCCCCAACAACCGCCGGCCTTCCTCCACCGCCCCGCCCCGGGCGCAGGCGGCGATGGCCGCGTTGAAGGAGATCGTGTCCGGCTCCACCCGGTCCAGGGTCTGCATGTCTCGCAAGCACCCCAGCGCCCGCTCCCACTCCCCCCGCTCTTTGCAGACGCTGATGAGGGTGTTCCAGGTGATCACGTCCCGGTCGATGCCCGCGGCACGCATCTCCTCCAGCAAGTCGAACGCCGCGTCCACGTCGCCCCCGCGCTCGCAGGCCGAGAGCATCGTGTTGTACACGACCAAATTGGGCCGAAGCCCCCGGGATTTCATTTCCCCCCACAAACGTTTCGCCTCGTCCAACCGACCCCCCCGTCCGCAGGCGCTGATGGCTGCCGAGTACGTGTACTGGTTCGGGTGGGCCCCATCGACTTCCATCAATGCCACCAGAGACAAGGCTACCGTGCAATTACTGCTCCGCTCGCAGGCCGATATCGCGGCGGTGTAGGTGACCGTGTCGGGCGTGATGTGCCAACGTTCCCGCATTTCTTGGATCAAGGCCCAGGCGGCTTTCCAATTTCGACGCACCTTCAAGCCTTTCAACGCCATGGTAAAGACGTAGTTGGACGCGCAACTCGCTTGGGTCGCCGCGTCCAAAATCCGCAGCACCTCCGACCAGGGCGCCGAGACAGCTGCGGAATGGGCCAAGACCTGGTAGGTGCTCTTGTTGGGCCGGACGCCCATGGCGAACATTTTTTCGTACAAGGACCGACACCTCGGCCATTGTTTTGCCCGACCCAAAATGTCGAAGAGCTTGTTGAAGTCCAAGATGGAGGGGGGGGCCGAGTCCCAGGGCCTCCGCTTTGTCCCAATACGCCATGGCCGCTTCGTATTTCCCCGCGCGGGCCAGGACGCGGATGAGTTTCATGAATTCCTTCCCCCCCACGCCCTGGTGACGTCGACGCAAGGCCTCAAAAATCCCCACAGCCCCCTCCCAATCACCTGCCCGGCCCAGGTTTTTCATCAATGTCAGGTAGGAATGAACGCTCAAGGGTCTCGACCCTTCCAGGAGACTGAAACAAAACGCCCGGGCCTGCATGGCCTCGCGCCGACGGACCAAGTCCTTCAAAAGGAGGTAGTCTTGGGGAGGGAGGGCGGTGCCGTTGATGTGGGCGGCTTCCACCCACCGGGTCGCGTTCCGCGTGCTGCTCCGGAAGGAGTGGGGTGAGCGGGGAGGGGCTTGGTAAGGATGTTGCTGGGAGTACGGCTCCTGGAAGGGCTGGGGCCGCGGGGGAAGACGAGGAGGAAGTGGAGGTCGGGAAGGAGGGCGGGCGGAGGAAGGGGTTGAGGGTGGGGGAGGGGAGAAGCAGGATGGAGAGGCGCCTTCCCCGCTCAGGTAGGAATCCTGATCTTTCGAAATGAGAGAGGCAGCGAGCAAGCTAGCAGGAGGCGACCGGGTGTGGGGATGAGTGCCTCGGAGGGCCCCGGCAGAGAGCAAGAGAGGGGAGGAGGATACCGTGGAGGACGAGAAAGACACAGGCAGCACGAGGGCATGCACGCGCGATCCCCCGGGACCCGACGACGTCAAGATTGATAGACCTGTCACTAGCATAGCCGTCGCAACCCTGAAAGAGTACCTTGTGTCTGACAGCCTGCTGGGCCCGACTTGATTCCCTCCCCTCCCTCTTCTCCGCCGCCGCCGCCACTTGCTGTCGTCCGCGGCAACGATTTGGGACACCTCCACTCGATTTCCCATGTCTAGACTGCAGTGAAGTTGTCCTTTTGGGAGTTTATGATATTTACGTGTTCTAGGTCAAGCTCTTCCTTGAGGTAGCAAAGGGCAGGTGTCTACACCCCGAACGACTCCCAAGTCGCACGCCTATGCGTGCCGCCACGTAAAGCCACCGCCTTGGCTGGAAAGACCTCCGATATGGTTTCTATACTATCAATACAGCCTGTTTGGCGACGACGACAGAGTTCTCGATGGGTGCTGCTTCAGAAATGTGTCATGGAAGACGTGCCTTGGGAAGGGGGATTGCTTTGCCGCAATGCCTACTTGCTTTTTCGCAAATTTATGTCCAGCCGATGGACGATCCTGTGAAAAGCGTTCCTATATTTACGGATTGTTGAGTTTGTAGAATAAACAGGTGAGATACTCAGGCTTGACGGCCGTACCACATGCTTTTTTAGCGTATGTCCTTGCCATCGCTCTGTCGATGTACCCGTCCCAAATCTGGCTCATTAAAAGCGGGAAAATACGTGTTTATGCCCCCTTTTTAAATTCTATGCCACTCTGAATGTAATTTTGGCGTGCTACTCATGTAGTCAACATGTTTCCTCGTTTTTGTTAGGTTCGATAATGCGGGACAGGAGAGCACGAGGTGTCCATGCCCGGCTCGACGTGCAAAGCGGCAAGGACAACAAATCTTGCCCATGAACTTCACATAACTAATCCTTTAGCACCACCCCTATCCCCCGTACCACATGGATGTATAAAACTGGCCAGTAGTTGTGCGAATGCGCGTATGCTGCAGCAGTGATGCATTGAACCCGACTGGGAGCACGACCAAAGGGAGCAAGACTAGTACGTTGGTACCTGTACTTGTCCTTTGAGGCCCAATACCTCATCCTCCCTCCCTCCCTCTTTCCTT